GGAAGGAAGGAAGGAAGGAAGGAAGGAAGGAAGGAAGGAAGGAGTTTCTATGAAAGCCCCAAGTTTGCAGTTGTACAAAAAGATATATATCTTTTAAGGTGGGGTGAACACTGTGGGTTTCGAATTTGGAGAGTTCTAAGCCCCCAAAAGTAACTTTTCCATGTTTTACCTTTCTAGCCATTCCTGAGACGGTCAGTCTGTACCTGATCAAACTGAATGCCTGTAAGCTTCATTGGGAAGGAAACTCGGTACGACTGAATGTTTCTCCATAGAGAAGCAAAACGTCCCTCCACCTAGAAAGCTAGTTCACCAAGGACTAGCAGACTCTCCTTGGCTTCTCCCTTGGAGCTCACGTTCTTTGGTGGAGAGAGGTTTTGTCTTTCTGCAGGAGGAGCAACTGGGTCCTAGGAGCATCTCCCTCTTGAGTAAGAAACCAGTGTAGCTCTGGCCCAGAGTCCAGACTGACCATCTCTCGGTGAGGACTAGACCATGGTGGCCTCGCAGCAGGAAGGATGCCCCTGAGAGCATTGCAGAGCCAGATGCTGAGAAGACAGCGGGAAATGGCCACTTGGCCCACAGGCTCTTGGCCCTCTTTGGTGTGGAGGTGAGGCCATGCATTTGGGGTGGCACGCATGCATTTGCCCTTCTGCCTGGGAGCCTGAGGCCGGGGAACGCTTCAGACATCGGTCAGTCGGTTGGTCTGTAAGGGAGAGACCACACTGTCCTCATTGGCTGCTGGGGGACTGCAGGCTCTTTGCGGCAGATCTTTGGATGGAGTACACACCTGACAAAGTGAACAAATGCTGCTTCAGAAGAGGAAGGGCTGCAGCCTTGTGCTGGATTCAAAGCTCCCACTGGCACTTTGCCTGAGCAAAGAGTAGAAAGCAGCCAGGGAATGGCTGGGGTAACTGTGCAGGTTTGCTGTCGGTACGTGCTGTCAAGCCAATATTGACTTATGGCAATCTTATGAATGAATAACCTCCAAAAGCCCCCATTGTCAACAGCTCTGATCAGGTTGTGCAAACCCAAGGCAGCCCAGCCTTCTTTGACTGAGGCCATCCACCTGGAATATGGCCTTCCCCTTTTGATGCTGGCTTCCACTTTCCCCAGCGTTTCCTCTCCTGCTTGTCGGCTACTGCAGTCGGGCAACAAGGAAAGCCGTGTCTCCCAGGTCAGTGGGCCACTGGATCCGTCTCAGGTTCTGGCTAAGATCAAAGGAGCACTGAACCAGCCTGCAGCACTCCTTTAAAGCTTACTTTAAAATATGGGGTGGATTCCTTGTCCCACTGACATGGGAGCCACCAGCCACCGCTGGAGGAAAGGAGAGGAGCCACCCCAGGGTTGCCAAGGGGCACTGAGAGGGCATAGGAAGGGAGCCAGAAGAAGGCACCTCACTCCCGGGGATGCTTTGATTGGGAGTTCCTGCATGGCAGGGGGTTGGACTGGATGGCCCTTGTCGTCTCTTCCAACTCTATGATTCCATGATTCCCCATTTTGCTTCCTTACAGCTATTAAAATTTCAGCCTCAGGAGGGAGGGGAGGCATACCTGGCTGGTGCTGTCATCCGTTGCTTCCTGCACGTCTTTGCACCTTCTTTTGTCTCCTTCACGTCTTGCAAATCTTCACCACGAATAAGAAGCAAGGGACGGGGACCGAGACAGAAATGATAGTCATAATAAAGTTCTTCAAAACCACCCCTGGCTTCTCTGTGTGTTGTCACTGAAGTCTAAGCCCTGCACCAAGGTTTCCTGTTTTGCCCTTGGGAAGCCGGCCAAACTCCCATCAGCTGAAGGGAGTCCAAGCTCGACAAGATGTCTGTAGAAAAGCAGTGGTCATCCAATCCAGTCCAAGTCCTTCATGAATCAGTGGTCAGTCCGGGAAAGCAGTCAAAAGGGTCATCTGAAAGAATAGTCAGAGTCCATGCAGATTTCAAGGCAAGAGGCAATCAATCCAGACACCAACATGGCTTTCTCCCAAGGAAGAAGGATGGGTGTCAGCCATCCTGGACCAAGGGAAGTGGTGGGATATTTATAGCCCGTCCAGGTCCCCCAGATGCTCCCTATTAGCAGCCTGCTTCTTACTTAAATGCTGAGAGTGTTGGCATCTCTCTTTCCTAGTGTCTCTCTGCAAGGGTAGGTAATGGTAAGTCTGGCTTGACACCTGAGGGTTGTGACTCCAGGAAACTTTCCTCTTGTGGCTGCTGGGGACTCAGTTCCTGTGCCTGTGGCTGTTGGCTGTTGGCTCTCCTCCTGGGGCTGCTGGCAAGTCATCTGGGCTCTCCATCAGAGCCTTCAGACTCAGAGATCATGCCAAGATCTTGGAGGCAGGGCATGGCATAGAGTGGTCTCCGGGCTTCTCTTCATTGGTGTCACTCAGGATGGACTTGAGCTGTGATTCTATGAGAGTCCTGTCAGGCTCAGATGAACACACTCCTTCCTCGGAGAGTAGCGGAGTCTCCTTCCTTGGAGGTCTTTAAGCAGAGGCTGGATGGCCATCTGTCCGGGATGCTTTGATTGGGAGTTCCTGCATGGCAGGGGGTTGGACTGGATGGTCCTTGTGGTCTCTTCCAACTCTATGATTCTATGAATGGAGACAACGGATGGGCCTAGTGTGACTAGTGGGTCCCGCCTCAGTGGAGTGGTCAATCTGCTTTGGGTTTTAATTTGCATTGGTAAGGATGCTTCCAGGTAAAGGTAAAAGGTAAAGGTAGACCCTTGACATGCATGTCTAGTTGTAACCGACTGTAGGGGTTGATGCTCATCTCCATTCCTAAGCCAAAGAGCTAGCATTGTCAGAGACTACTCTGTGAACATATGGCTAGCATGATTGCACAGAACGCTGTTACCTTCCCACCAAAGTGGTACCTATTTATCTCCTTGCATTTGCATGCTTTCGAGCTACTAGGTTGGCAGAAGCTGGGACTAGTGAAAGGCGCTCATGCCATCATGCAGCACCCGGGCCTCTAACTGCTAACCTTCCGATCTTCCATCGTCAGAATTGGCATCTTGACCACCAAGCCACCGCATCCCAGATGGCTGAGCCAATTTTGGGGTCCAGGATCCAGCAGTTCAGAGAACACCTTCAGGGTCTAGAATCACCTTCACCTCTGACATGGAAACCACCAGCTCCAAGCATCTCTCTGGTGTCCCTTGGCTGAGGATTCCTGCATGGCAAGGGG